CAAAGACAGAACAGTTAGCATGGCTTGCTCAAACTTTCGCCATGGCATTAGAACTGGTACACCGTTGTCGCTTGCGAAATCAAAATGACGGCGCCGTGGATGGAAACTTGAATGAGACCCCCGCGTCGATAGCCCCCGGGGTTCGGGAGTTACGGGTGGTTAAATTCGCGGTCCGGTGTTACGAGATTTTTGGTTTCAGTGGGTATCATACATGAATATTCATGAGTTTCCCGGACATGCGCGTGGAACCAGTTGGAACTGAGAATTTCAGTTCACGCTCTTTGTATTTCAGCAGGTTTAATGGGATATATATATATATTTTTAAAAAAGGTAAATATATTTACAGTGTTGCACAAACTACATGAACAATTACACCAGGATAGATGAAAAACGATTCACAAATACAAGTTTATTTCAGCTGTTGTATTTAAATGAAAACAACTAACAACAGACAGTTTTAAAGCATTGCAACAGCACAACTAACTGAAATCAAAGTAAGTTACAATAGCTTAAGTGTGCTGAATGTCTGCAATCATTCAGTCAGTGACGACTGCACAAAACGTGCAAACTAATGAAAACATAAACTGTTACAAAATTATGAACAAATGTAGTTTAGGCATAGGGTTGTGCAACGCTGTAAAATATTTACCTTTTTTAAAATATCCCATTAAACCTGCTGAAATACAAGGAGCGTGAACTGAAATTCTCAGTTCCACCTGGTTCCACGCGCATGTCCGGGAAACTCATGAATATTCATGTATGCTCCGCCCACTGAAACCAAAAATCTCGGAAACCGAAAAGCTCGTAACACCGGCGCCGACCGATCAAGCGATCCCGGGGGGCTACCGACGCGCGGAGGGTGGCGTTCGAGAGGGCTCCTCGAGGGGGGTGGCGTTCGATAGGGCTCCTCGAGCTGAAGGGATCCCCCGAATTTGGTGGAGATCCGCCGGCGCGTTCGCGAGATAGTGACAACAGTCAACACTTTCCCTTTAAGGAGGTTTCTTGTTCAGGCAGCAGCATTCAAGCGTGGTCTTATTCTACCGTGAGTGCCCTGCAAAGTAGACTTCACATGAAATTCCGCCATGATTCCAGTTCCAAGGGAACGTACACGTTACATTCAAAGGGACAGCACATGGACAGAAAGCTGCTGTCACAACGAGGCTGAATTCAGCTTCTTATTCGCAGCTTCTTATTGACGCTATCCGTTCCACCTTAAAAACGTGTTTCTTATCTTCTCATTCATGCAATTTAGGGACCGTCTCTATTTGTGTCTCTTTTTCAGAAACAAACAATAAACTATTTTAAAATGTAAATAACACTGAGATCAGCGCGAAAACGGGCTGTCAACATTAAATCTAATTACATAATCTGTTCATTATTAAACGTGCATGTCATCCTTTGAGTGCAGTAATGATTTTTTTTAAATCTATCCTCTTATGAAGACTTCATATGACCCAGCACCTGTGAATAGAGGACTCCAGATACAAAACGACTTTATTGCTTTAAAATGTACACAAAGTTTGCTTAAATGCATATATGGTATTTGTAAATACTATAATTTGTACTAGACTTCAACTGTTCTTTCTGATACCCACTCCTATAAAGACTATTCTGGTTTTGTAACAGAAAAACATGCATTTTAAAGCTGCTCTGAAACAATATGTGTTGTGAAATGCGTTATACAAATAAATATGAATTAAACTGAATGAGCCATTGCATTGTTGTTGTATTGCATTTAGAAGATGGACCTATAAATATGACATATGTGACTATACAGTTGAATAGGTCATTGCACTGATTGCCCAATTGGAGGCGCAAAATCTCAGCTGTCCTTGAGGGTGCGTTAAAAGATTCATTAGAGGCTTTAATGTCTGAAAAGATTCAGACATTTTTACGGTACCATTTTGAAGTTATGGACCTATAAATTTGACATACCGGTATAGACTTGAGCTATTGCATTCATGGCCCTATTGGGGGCGCTATATCTGAGCTGTCCTTGAAGGTGCGTTGAATGTTTCACTAGGGCCTTATTCCCAGGGACGTTGACTGTTACCATGCAAATTTCAGACATTTTTACTGTAGCATTTTGAAGTTATGGACCCATAA